GTTGTCCTCTTCTCTCTCTCTGCCTACGGTTTACCGGGCAGTTCTATTTGTGACGATATATGGTTCAGCCTCCTGATGAGTCGGTGAAACTCCGACGAAACAGTTTGTCACAGCCCCTCGTTTGTTGTCCTCTTCTCTCTCTCTGCCTACGGTTTCACCGGGCAGTTCTGTTTGTGACGATATATAGCACCATCGTTTTTGTTTTGTTTTGTTTATATGGTCTGATGGACCACAGATCAAACTGATCAGAACAGATACTATAGCACCATCTCAATATTAGGCCAACCAAAATATTGGTGCTGCATTGGCAGATCGACCACCACAGCCTGCCGACTAATAACTGGATAGACCACATGAACCTGGAACGGCAGGGGCGGGTGCTGCCCTGGTGCAAAAACTGTAGGCAACATTTCCCATCCCAGAAGAAAACAGAAACCATAGAGCACATGTTCCTGCAGTGTCCCTCATCATTGCTGTTGTGGCGCTGGTGGGATAGAATCTGGTGGCAAAACCGTCCCAGGCTGGTTCTGGCCGTGCGACGGGAGGGCGCTGTTAACCGGACACTGCCCTTACATTGAGACATGCTGTTTAAACCACCAGTACACAGCCCCAGCCTTGCCTAAGCCGTCGCCACCAACCTCAGATTTCAGGACCGGGCGGGGCGAGGCGCTGTAGTAAAAAAAAATTTGCGGCCTTCGAAGTGGTGCTGGTGTATGCCTGACAGCTCGTCCAGGTGGAGTCACCAACCAATGGCAAGCGGCAAGGCAACCAATGGGATGAGCTTCATTCACACCAGAAAGGACATCAACAAGATTATCTCCCTGTTCACTGAGGAATGGTTAAGGGGGAGACCGGGGGGCTGGATGGCAGAGATGACCTGGTCAGGAGGCCCGCCCCAGCAAGGTCAACAGCAAGAAGAAGAGGAAGGATGCCCAGGGGCTGATGTGATCAGAGATTACCAGCTTCCTTTTCACGATTGGCCAGCAGTCGACTCCAGCGTGCCTAGGCGGGCATTAGACTTTGTGGCCCCCTTTCCCCCGTATGTTGCATTTCTCCCGGAAGCTGGGTTTTTCCTACAAATGCTCCCAATGGGACGATGGACCTGGTTTCCGGCAGGTGATGCTCCCCAGCAATAGACAGGAGCCATCTGATGAAGCTGCTACCGGGGGCTGCTCTTACCAACACCGATAGCACCAGCGCGGATGTTAAAAAAAAAAAAAGGAAGAAAAAGAGGTGGACCCAGGTTGACACAGCATAATGGCGGTTATAACCAACTACAGGAGGGCACAAATTATGGACATACCCATGCAAAGTTATGGACATACCTGGGACTGAGGTGGACTGGCCAAATTATTCATATACCCTCTACCCAATGGCTGAAAATACCCAGCAGCCATTGAGCCACAAGGGTCCACTTGGTGGGTATGAGCATAATTTTGTGGTCCTCATCCAAGGCCCCGCAGTGGGTGTGGGTACAGCCACAAATTTGCCAGCCCAGATTCTGGGCATGAGCATAATTTCGTGGTCCCGAACCGAGGGCCTGCGGGACTGGATATACCCACAATTTCCCACAGAACAAGCACTTCATGAAAAGTGGACATTTTATGAAAACTGTACTGATTCCAAAACTTTTTAAAATGATTTAAAAAAAAAGAGTTTTTTATGCTTCTCATCCAGCACATCTGTTGTCCACTTTCATTAAACCACCAGTACCTACCGGTTGTTAAGGCCCATGGCTCAGCCTACCGGTATCCCGAACCTTGCTGAGCCTCGAGCTACGGGTAGTACACATAAAAAAAAAAGAGAGAGAAAAAAAAATCGACAATTTCTCTGCGCAAAAAAAACAAGAAATTGAAAAACAAAGAAGCCCGTTTTGCACTTCCCATCTTTGGGTCGCGAGGAGAGAGAGAGAGAGAGAGAGAGAGAGAGAGAGAGAGAGGGGGTGCGGCGTGATATTGCACAAATTTGCAAAACGAGAATGAATCTTCTGCCTCCTGCGTGGAAGATTCATTCTCATTTTGGGCATTCCTGGAGAGAGAGAGAGAGAGAGAGAGAGAGAGAGAGAGAGAGAGAGAGCCTCTCTCTCTCTCTCTCTCTCTCTCTCTCTCTTCATGTGGTGGTGACCTCCACGAATGCCAAAAATGAGAATGAATCTTCTGCGCAGAAGGCGGG